CTCTCTCTCTCTCTCTCTCTCTCTCTCTCTCTCTCTCTCTCTCTCTCTCTCTCAGTTGTATCTACAAAGAGATCAAATCAAGCATGTGAGTCAGTGTCTTAACCATTCAGTAGTTGAGGGAAGGGCATTGTGGTACAAGGATAGACATTAACAAGGGAATAACACGAAGTCAGGCTCCATCCTGGATTTTGACTCCTAACTGACATGTCTGGTTGAGGACTGGTTGAGTTTATTAGTGTAAAGTTGTCCCTGGTTTGCTGAGTCTGCATGGACACTAGGTTGATTCCCTCCTCTGGTGTCAGTCAAGCAGTAAAGAACCAATCACGAGCAAAGGATTTTTGTACCCTGCCCCACTTCTTCACCTGCTTCAGATTTCAGACTCTCCCTGTTTCACAGTGAAGCAGGCAGCAGGCAACCTCGCTGAGGTGCCCTCTGTTTTTTGCATCAGCTTCAAGAAATGTGGAGGATGCAGCATGTGACTTGGGGGCCTGGCAAGCCTGCAGGGGAAAAGTGGAGACAGTTCCTTGACCGTTAGAGGCCATTTCACGGTTGTCATGCTGGTGCTGGGTGTGAGCAGTGGGACTAGAACTTGGAACATCTGTGTTTCTAGCCCTGTGGTAATCCACTAGGCAGCTCAGCTGTTGTCCACGCACTATCCTCTCTCTTCTTAGGGGAATGCTTCAGTGAAAGTAGCTTTTTTATTTGTATAAATAGAATAGAAAATATTTGAGACAAAATTGCATTAAAAGGATTTGTAAAATTGCCCCACATTTGCTGAAGTTTAGTGAACTCTAAAACAGGTGGATTTTGAATGAAAAGAACTCTTGTTACAAATAGAATGCCCATGTCTATTTCTTCTATCATTGTAATGATTGCTACATTGCACTATGGTGTAATTGGTCACATGACTGATGTTGCTAGCATTGCTAATTAGAAAAACCGAGGTGTCAAGAAATGTAGCACGAGCACCTGTTAATTGGATGACATACAAGAGCTGTTACGCTCAATCCCAAATTTGGGGGACTTTTGATATTTTGATATTCTGAGAATTCCCATTGAAGCCAGGTTAGTGAGCACTGCGATTGCCAGTGTTTGCAGGATGCGGGCCCTTATGTTAAGCATTCTTGGAGTATTACCCAAGAGGAGCATAACATAATATCAAAGTGAAAGGCATGATGCTGCAATGCAAAGTGGTGTACTTCCCAGAGCAAAAATCACTTCTAGACATTACACATGCTAGGAAATAGCCTACTGTTCAATAGCAACTGAGTCCACCCAGTGGAAAATGTATCACTGATTCTCACCAGACAACCTGTTGACCTGATCTTAAAAATCCTGGATAAATTCACTGACTGGCATATCTGAGCTGAGAGGAAAATGTAAGCTGGCCTCCTGTTTGATTGTAAAGAGCACTGTTTGCCAGTCTACTATATTGTTCAATTTTACCTTGGCTCTGCTCAGCTAATGGTGCCCCATAGTGCACACTGAGAAGATTGCACGTGGCTACTTGGGTATGTGCTATCGCCAAAGATCAGTATGGGCCGCAGCTGCCCCTCAGTAGCATTTAAAGGAAGCTCAGGGAAGAATCTAGGCTTTGCTTTCACCCTTCAGTGTCAGCAGGTGCCCCAAAGACATTACGCGCAGATGCATCAGATTAGCTGCCTGTCTGACACAGGGATATGTGGGAAAAGGTACTTATAATGTGATAATTTAAAGTCATTGTCTTTGGCAAAAAATAAAAATATTAGGACAAAGAAATTGGAGATTGGTGTCTCTGGAGAGCCGCAGCTAAGCTTTTTATTTTAAAATAAGAATCCTTGTCTTGTCTAATATTACATAATAAAGCAGTGTGCACTTCACTCCTCAAACTTAATTTTGTTCAGCAGCGCCACCTGCTGAACTCAGTATTGATTTTCAGCCCTGGAATAAAAAATAGCTGGATAAAGGAAATTGCAAAAAGAAATCCACAGTGTTCAGGAAGAAAAATAGTCCCTGGTAGAGAAGGTATCAATAAGCCTGTTAATTTAGGTTTAGAGTATATTTTTTACACTATGGCAAATGAAATATTTGCCAATTAATCAGAATGTTTAGTATCTGACGAGAGCTGGGAGAAGAATGCCTAATGAATGCGATAGTAGTGTTATAGTTTGTATTACCATAGTGCCTAGGGAGCCCTGGTATTCAAATTGCAATTGTTCATGAGCAGATGATGATTTTTCTCAGGTATTCATTATTCACAATTATTCTGTGAATAATTGTTGGTGGGTTTGTTGAATGACTTGCAGGCAGGTTGTTGCAAGCAGGCCTTCCAAAATCTACTCTCTCATTTGCTTAGGGCACGTAGGAAGCTTTCTCAGGCAATTAGCATCAATTTAAGAAAAACCTGTAACCTTCCAAATGTGAAATGAATGGAAACCAATGCAGAGTTGCCTCACTTAAGTGTGCAGTGTTTTTGCCGCTCAGAGAAGAGCCCAGCAACCCAACCCAAACCTGATGGGATCCAGCTACAAGTGTTGGATTGGGGTTAGGTGGGTCAGAAAACAACCCAACCCAACCCTCTCAGGCTCAGGTTGGGTCAGGTAACCTCTGATTACCTTCTCCTGCCCGTGGGATCAGTGCAGCAGTAGCATGCCTCACTCCTGCTGGCCACCGCCAACTTGTTGCAGTGTGCGCGCTGCGGGATGAGTGCACCAGTAAGATGCAGTGCCTCTCGCTCCACAGAGCTCCCGGTGCATCAGGGAGCAGCGGCTGGCAGAAGTGGGGCTCACAACGGCCACACTGACCCAACCAGCTGGAGGCAGTAGCATCGGTGACAGATTTCCGGGGTTGGGGGAGGGAAGTGTTGGGGTTGGATTGTAAAACAATTCAACTTTCTCAGGCTCGGGTCAGATACTTTCAGCAATCAGAAGGGAAAGATGGGGGATCAAATGTATTATGTACCTGCTAGCCAGAAGCTGATGCAAAGTTTGGCGCCTCAGAGCAAAGTCCCAGAGACTGCTCCTTGGTAGGAAAACCAACACCTTCCCCTTTTTCTATCAGCTGTGTGGGTGATTATATTGGGTTATTTCAGTGACAGAGGAAAGATAAAGGAACTCAAACTCTAGATATTTTGGCACAGGTAGTGCTTAGCAACCTCAGCTGTATAAAGATTTAAATCTTTCAAGGGAACTTTAAATGCATGGTTACTGCTTGCAAACAACATGTGACTACATTAAAATGTCAGTTAACATTTCATAAAACTACTTGTGTACTGATAGGTACTATAGAAATATCTAAGATGGCTTCACGCTGAATTTTAAATTGTTTGAGTCCAAATAGTTGCTCTCTGAAAGGAAAACAGTGTCCTTTCTTGAATACCTGTAAGAATCTGTCAGTGGAACTTCCCCAATATAAACATGTTTGCCCTCGGCAGCAGAATTCCTCAAACACCAGATGCTAGAGGCTCAAAATTCGCATTTTATCTAGCAAGAAAGAAAGGTAAAACTATCCACTTGCACTGAATAAGAGTGGGTAGGTGCAGGAGACATAGAAAAGCCATCCTTGTTTTTTTGTTCAGTGCAAATTAACATCTGCTTAATCTAGGGTGTGTGAACGCATGCATGTGTGCACTATTGAAATTTGTAGGTGACATGATGTGAATTCAGACTGATACAGGGGAAAAGACCATTGCAGTCTAGTAACTATTTTCTCAAGATTAGAGCCTGCTACCATTCTCCCATTCTGAAAATTAGTAATCACCTGTTAACTTAGTTATATAATGTAGTTAACTTAATGTAGTTATATACATTTTATTAAACACAAAAATCTTCTGTGATGTACAACTATGGTGAAATCCTGGCTCTATTGAAATCAGTGGGAGTCTTGCCATTGACTTCTCCCCTAGTGCATTGACTTTGTGTTGGAGCAGAATTTGAACCCTGCAGTGCCAATTGCAGTACTGACACATGTCATTTTTCCATTGTTTTTTCAGGTGGTGGGAATCTTTGCGGGATTTGGTCTACTGCTATTAGTGGCCTCGCCTTTCCTTTTACTTGCTACCCCATTTGTCCTTTGCTGCAAGTGCAAATGTAATAAAGGAGATGATGACCCTCTACCTACCTAGATCATGAGAAGATGGGACTCCTCACACACCTATTTTTTCCCCTTCTTGCACTTACATTGTTGTAGCCTTACTTCCCCCATCCTGCTTTTCTGTGACAGTGCCATGATTTCAGGAACTGTTGTTAGTACAGTTACATAGACCAAGTACTAATAGTCAGGTAAAGTAGTAGAAGGCAAGTCAGGTGTTTAGAGGATGTTGTGGAACAAACTAAGTGTCTGAAATTAAGAGATGAAGATACTCTAGATAAAAGTAATGGTTTCATGTTGCCCACAAAGGCTATATTGGTGGACTAGGAACGGTGCTATGTTACATCAGCAAAACAACCTAAAAATGAATCAAATCTATTTTTTTCACATATACATTTGCATCAAAATGAGATGTCTTATTCATATTCCTATTTGAGTCACCTATCATTTAAATGTGGCTTTAATATATCTGTTTATTACAACTGTGTTTTTATTAATATTGCAATGGCAAAAACCTCTTTAGTACTTATTTTTCCAAGGATAATGGAAATCAATAAGGTGCATATTGGCCATCATATGCCTTTCTTGAATTTTGGGAAGGGTACAGCTGGAATTGCTGCCTTCCAGGAATTTTAGGAAGTTTTACATGCTATTTGTTCAATTAAAAACTACATTTTAAAAAATAAATATATGAAAGCTGCAAGATTGAGTGGTGTCACAAACCTGCTACCTAATCAAGATTCTTTTAAAAATGTATAGTTGGTATAGTCTTTTTCTGAATGGTTAATTTTTGCTGTTATTAAGGGGTCTGGTACACTTACAGGGCTACATAACTTCTAATCCAGGTATCTCAATCTTTTATTTATATATTAAAAAATCCTGATTAAACCAAATGTGTAAATATCTGTGCTATTGAATATTTGGAAGTTCAAGATAGCTCGCTTCTGTCTTAAAGGCAGGTATTGAAAAAAATTGCAGGACTTATTCTGCTTATCAGCAGATTCTCGACTCAGCAATGATTCCTGTCTTTATAATATATGAAAAGTACTAGACATCCTTATAGTTAGTAGTAAAAGCACCTGGGGTGTTTGTGAAAGTTCTATCTACCATTTACAATATATACTCCATTTTCCAGAGTTCATATCATATCAGATGTGCTGTTAGTAATCATACTGTGAGAAAACAAAACAAATTTCTCTTTAAGGATTAGTTTGTTTTGTTCCAACATTACCTTATGTGGCATCATTTTTATTTTCTTTTTCTTTTTTAATTTACAATGTTGTAAGTTTTCCAGGGTAGTAAAATGTCCAAATCAACATATTATTAATACACAGAAATTACTCTTCTGCAGTATTTTTTGGAAAACTGTAAGAGACCCCTTTGTAAATGCAGGCTTCAAAAACAGCAAAAGAATTTGACAAAAATGTAATGTAATGGCCCTGATCATGGAATGTGGTACACATGGGCAGATCTGTATCCAAGCGGAGCCCACTATTCTGCAGAGCATGCTAGTGGAAGTTAAACTGTATTTGAGAACATAAAGATATAATGGAGTAGGAAATGATGCAGTGATGTGTATATGTGCAAGTCAATGGGGCTCACCACCTAAGACATGGCAGGATCAAGGCCACAAAGCATAACAGCAGTCTGACATAGCAAAAAAACTGTTTGTTTGTTCTGTTTGTTTTATGTTTAGTTTTAGTTTGCATATTTGAATAGAAATGTTGCAGGGTAAAATTTTTAAAAGCCCATTGACTTTCAGTGAGATGTAGACTCCTAAGGGCATAAATCACATTTGAAAATGGGAAATAGATTCCTAAATCACCTAGGTACTTTTGAAGATTTTCTCCTCTGTCCAACCTCACTATTCTTGATTTTAAAAAATATTAGTATTTTAAACTGGCTAAATGAGAAATGCTTGCAGGAGATCCAGAAATTATTTTTGTCTTAAGATGTTCAACCTTTTAAAGATGGCAATCTGATTGCAAGCCAGTGTTAGTTGTATGTTACGTCATTAGCTTTGTATTACAGAACTTTAGTGGTGAATTCCTGATATTGTACTTTTTTTTTTTTTTTGTGCTTAGCTATTCAGAAATAATATGGGATGGCTGGATGGCTCACAAGAGCTTAACAATGGGATAGGCATACTTTAACTAGTCACCACTGGTCAGCCCTGGTTTCAGTGGCTAATGAGGTTGCAGTCTCAGTCCAGCTCCTCCTAGAGGATGATGTCCTTATCGCAAAAGACTGACCGAATTAGAAAAGCACCCTGATTCAGGATAGTACTTAACTCACATTGTCCTGAATCATCGTTTTGATGTATTTGATTAATAGGTATGTACCGCTGGATCAATAACTAGTTTCTCCAGATCTGAGGCATGTTGTCAAGGTACTGTGGGAAGGCTTGAATTCTGGCCCTTATTCTCCAATCCTGATCTGCACAGGACTGATCCAGTTGCAGCATCAGAGAACTAATTGTTCAGTGGGCAAAACAGACCCCAGGTTTCCTGGACTAGCAGTTCTGCATTCCACTTATGTGAGCACTAAGCAACACACAGTTTTCCTTTAAATCACAAATGGTTCTAATTGGCAGTTCCAGCCAAGAAACTGGTTTATAGGGGCCTATCAATATAGTATCTGAGGTATTGTGGCATAAAGATTAACCTCTACTTTGTCTTTCTTAGAAGTAGTCTTTTCAGATCAGGGGTGAAGCAGGGCAGTGTTGAGAATCTGTGATGCCCTTGATAGAGAACTTCACTCCCCACAGTTGTCACTGACATCTTTGCAGGGCACTAAATTTACTTCAAAATTAAAGGAAAAAATCCTACACTGCATTATAGATGTAAACATTTTTAAAAGGTTAGATTTCAATTGAGGATCACCATTAACACAGACACCAATGCCTGGGTTTATCTGATCATATCCAACATATATAGGACTGTGTCTGATCTCAGCATGCTTGGGTTCACTATAGTAGATTTCCAAGCTGTCAGCTGATACATCTTCTTGATGTTTGGGTAATAATGTGTGTATATTCACAAAGAATATGCTGTAATCACTTTCAGGCATGCTGAATATCATAACCTTACATCTTATTTTTAAATTTTACCACTACAGTTTTGTTTCCTAAGAGTGGATGTCTTCAGGAATCACTGATTTACAAGCTCTGTTGATGCAATGGCATTTACTATCCTGAATGTATTGTTTTAAACTCTGACATTACTGCCCCATAATAGTGGGTTTAAATATCCTCATGCCTTTGTTGCATTTCTAAGGAAAATATTTATAACAGATTTCAGACAATCTGTTATAAACCTTCATCTGAAAATTGAGATTAACTGCATGGTTTCTATTGTGTTTCATATCTATCCTACTGTTTACTTCATTTGCATTGCCTTAAATGCTGTTTTTAATGAAATTTAACAGAGCATATGGTTTGCATGTTCTATTGGGAAGGATGAGTTTCTAGTGGTTAGAGCAAAAGACAGAGTGGAGTCAGAACTCCAGGGTGGTTGTATTTTTCCCCTCTAGCTCTACCACTGACTTGGGGCTCAGGCCTGTTCCTACTGAAAAGAGTAGCAAAGCATTCTCTTTGACTTCAGTGGGTGCAGGATTGGGCCCTCACAGTGTTCTTGGACAAGTCACTTATCCTTCCTTTGTCTCAGTTTATCCATCTGTAAAATAGGTGGAACAATGCTCACCTACCTCACAGGGTTGTTGTGGGGCTTAATTATTTTTAAAGTTTTTTGAGATCCTCTGACAGGGGACATTAGATAAGTACTTAGCAGTGTTATTTTATGTTAATATTTCAGTTGTTTCTAACTACCTTAAGCATGGATCCTCATATTGTATCATGCAAAGTTCTATTTTTTTTTTCAGGCATCATAATCTTTCCTAGAATATTTATTTTAAAATCATGATGGATCACAAAGAAGAACTGAATGGCCCAGTTCTTAGCATAGAATTCATGACCTGACCTGCAGAAAATATTTAAAATTAAGATTCCTAAAATATTCTGTCTGATGAAGGACGAGGGGAACAATATTCCTAGATCAGAAGAGGATATTACACTTTGTGATTTTAAAATTTTGTGAGTAGGAAAGAAAAAGTGGGGTTTTGTGTATTTCTAGGTTCTCCCTTTCCTATTAAGGATATACATGTATTTAATAAAAAGCATTCTTCATCCCGATAATGTACAAAGCAACAGAGGGTCCTGTGGCACCTTTGAGACTAACAGAAGTACTGGGAGCATAAGCTTTCGTGGGTAAGAACCTCACTTCTTCAGATGCATCTGAAGAAGTGAGGTTCTTACCCACAAAAGCTTATGCTCCCAGTACTTCT